CAGGAGGATGAGTTCCAGGCCAGTGTGAGCTACATAGTGAGACGCTGTCTCAAAAATACAAAATGATCAGCTCAAATCAACACATCCCCATTGGGCCCGTAAAATCAAGGCTGCCCTCCACTATCTCTACTTTACAGAGTCACACTCAGAGTGGCAGTGTTCCCTCCCCAGTCACACAGCAGGGAGTGATAGAGTTAGGCATCTTGAGATGAGCCAGATAGAACCATTCCTGTTGGAAGTGGACAGGCATGTTATCATCAGAAAGCTCTGGAGTCCATCTTTTTTCCTGCCTTTTAAAATTGTTTATTTTGATTGTACAAATGTAAGGCGTACAGCGTGGTGATGACCCAATTGGGGTAGTTAACTTTTGCATCTCCAAGTTTTAAAAAACATTCTGATGAACGCATGATAATTGTACCTATTTCTGGGGTACAATGAAATACTCTAATACATGTATACAACAGGCACTGTCACATCAGGGTAAATTAACGTTTCCATCTGTTTATCATCACCTTGGGTTTGGAGTTTTCAAGCTCATCTCTTCCAGTTAGTCATAAATATATATTGGAAGGGCTGGGGTTAGCTCAGAGGTAGAGAACTTGCCTAGCATGTGTGAGGCCCTGGGTTCAACCCCCAGCACTGAAAAAAAGAAAAGAAAACCTACCATTTCTCTATGGGTATTGGGCTCTTGGTCTGTGAACACAATGGATTCAACCTTGGCTTTGCAAATTACCAGTTAAAATCCTAGAATAGCAAGGCACGATAATGCACGCCTGTAATCCCATACCTCGGGGAGGCTGAGGCAGGAGGATTGCCATGAGTTCGAGGCCAGCCTGGGCTGAGCAGTGAGTGCAAGGCCAGCCTGGAATGCATAGCAAGACCCTGTCTCAAAACACCAAAAAAGAGTCTTGCGATACTTCTGCGACTTCCTCCTGGGTGAAAGGGATGGGCTGACAGCACCTAGGCCATCAGCGCGCGCCATCTCCGGATGGTGGTCGTCGCTGCCTTTAGCCTCCAAAAGTCCCCCAGAGGGAACGCAACAGGTGGGGATTCCAAGCCGGGACGCCGGGTCGACCCCAGACCCGGGTCACTTCTGCGCCGACCCTGCCTGCAGCAGCTGGTCCAGCTCCCTCCCAAGGCACCCAACAGCACCCTTAAAACACAGCCATCTCGGGTCGGGTTTTCCGAGCTTCCCAGGACGCCAGCGCCTCCCGGATTTGAGAAAAAAGGCCCAGCGGCACTAGCAGGTTTGCGCGAGCCTGCAAGACGCGAACCAGCCCGGCTCCTCATTGGCTCGGGGCAGGGGCGGGGCCGCAAGGGGGCGGGGCCAGGCTGGGATCGCTGGCCTATAGCCCGAGCTCTTTTTTTATTGTTTATTTTGAGACAGGGTCTAGCTAAATCGCTTAGTTGCCCAGGCTGGGCTCGAATTTGGGATCCTCCTGCCTCAGCTTTCCAGAGTGCTGGGATTACAGGCCTGTGCGCGAGAGACCACTCTGCTGGGCGCTGTAGGTTAGCGGCGTCCCTGGCCTCTACCTGCGAGACGCTAGCAGCTCCCCCACCCCCACCCTGCTAAACGTCCCTTGGGACTCAAAGTCACACCGATGCAGAAGAGGCTTCTCATGAGAGGGAGGGACAGAGGAGGGTCCCAGGGGCGGTAGAAGGGAAAAGAATAGAGAGGGTGGCGATGTCTGCTCGCTTTAGGGGGGAAAGAACTTCTTGAGCCCTAACAGATCAAATCAGTGGCCCCTGGGAACTGGCTTCGGGATCCCCCTTCCTACTCTTCTTCATGGAGGACATGATTCTGTTCCGTGAATGTTTATTGATTGCATTTTGTAGGCCAGGCACTTTCATGCATTCCTTCCAAACAGTTGTTCCACAATCTGTAACGCTGTTATTATGTAAAGCTTCACCACTCCACCATCGTGAAAAGGCACGCGCCTGGTGCCTGGCACTGTGCTGAACATTTGCCATCTGTCATCTCATGGGGTCCTCACAGCAGCCCCATGAGATGGCTTCTTTTACCATTATTATTTTTCCTCATTTACCAAAGAGCAAAATGAGCATCGGAGACTGAGCACCTAGGCCAGAAGCACCCAGCTTGGTACACTTTGTGGTGAATGAATGAATGAATGAATACCTCCTTGGATATCCATGGTAACCCTCGGGCATTGCATGGAGTCTCACGTCGATGTGCAGATCCCCTGCCAGGCTGGGAGCACCTGGGGCCGTTCATTCGCACTGGCACCTGCAGCCTGCAGTGCAGTCCATGGCCTACAGTAGGCATTCAACACGCGTTTACAAAATGAGCAAATGGTAGGCTCGTTTTGCATACACCTCACTTACCTTTCTAAACACCACCCCCACCCCAGCAAAAGCCCTCTCAGTAGGAGCTCAGTATTACTGTGTTTTGTTCACCAGCTGAAGGGCAGGAGACACAGAATGGAAATGCATCTTTGTAGACCACTTTTATCATGCAAAAGAAGGTTCTCCGGTGGGGTGACAGCTGCCGCAGAGCCTCAGGGAAACCTAGGGGCATGGGCTCCCTGTGAGGCCAGGCTGCTCCATGCCCCGGATCAGGTATTGGAAAGCAGAGCTCTCTGCTCCTGGCCCTAGAAGATAGCCTTCATCTCCCTTCTCCAGCTATTCTGGGGCCACCCAACCAGGTTCACTGGCTCTCACCAGCTCAGAGACACAGATGCCTGTGGAAAGAGAAAAGAAAGTGTCCCCTAAGCAAAACCCAGGAACCCCAGCTAACACACAGGGTGCTGTCCATTCCCCCAGGCATCCTCTCCGGGAGCACCCAGCAACCCCAAGAGGCAGGCACTTTGTGACTTTGTAGCCCCCACTGACAGACAGGAGCTGAGCCCCAGGGAGACTGAGCCATCCCACCACCTTGACTGAGCTGTCCTCTTCGGAGCTGGGACTGAAAGCCCTCTCTTCCTTCTGCAGAGCCTCTTCTGCCTCGACAGAGAAAAGAAGAGCTCTTCCAGGAGAAAATGAGATCTTCAGCAATGAGTTGCATCTTTTCCCCTTTGCACCTCAGCCTCTTTGCTCTTCCCCACCCCCTACTTCTCTGTCGCCCTTCTTCTCTGTATGCAAAGATCGACACAGACAGACCAAAGCATCCCTTGAGGCTGCCCTGAGAGACAAGTGCATGCTTTTAGCCCCACTCCACAAGTGCAGACACTGAGGCACAAGGACCTGAATGGCGCCCTATGGCCCATGGCTGAGGAAGCCACTCACATGATTCCCTCCTGGAGGAGTGTGGTCCAGTCTGAGCCACTGACGTCATACCCAGGTACCTCCACCGCAAACGGGGCTGCTAACTCTCCCCCACACGGGTCATTTACATGATTTGCTACATTTTCCTTTGTAACCAAGGGAAGGTCTCAAACCCAGCAAAGACAAATCAGAACCCCCTTCCAAGGCCAGGGGCCCCTTGCCCCCAGTCTGATCTGTATCCAGTCTGCAGAGTCCACCCATGGACTGTTTCCTTCTGGGGTCCTCAGTTATGCTTTTCTTTCTTCCTTTTTCCCAGCAAAGGCCCAGCCCTTTCTCACTGTGCTCATCCAGCTAGTCTCTCTCCTGTATGTATCCATTCATTACTTTCAGTCAACAGATACGCATTGAAAACCTCTATTCCAGGGGCTGAGCTAGGCATTGGGGACTCAACAGTTAAGAAGGCAAATGCAGTCTCTCTGCTCTCACCAAGCTGATATTTTATTAAGGAAGACAGAGAAGATGAGCCAGGCACTATGGCATGTGTCTGTCATCCCAGCACTCTGGGAGGCTGAGGCAGGAGGATCACAAGTTGGAGCTCAGCCTGGCCAACTTAGCAACTTGGCAAGACCCTGCCTCAAAATAAACAGTACAAAGGGGCTGGAGATGTAGCTCAGTCCAACGGCCTTGCATTCAATCTCTAGCACTGGGGGGGGGGGGGGGAAGATGGAAAATAATGTACCTTAACATATAAATAAGATAGCACTAGATATTGATAAAGGACAAAAGGAGGCAGGGGTGGGGAGAAAGAGAGACACAGAGCAACAGGGAGAGGGTGCTTTCAGATGAAAGGGAGCTGAGACCTTGGTGACAAAGGGGAGCCCGCCTGGTGCCTGGTAAGGATGGAGGGCAGAGGGTGAGAAAGACCAGGGCCCCCCAGCTCAGCAGGGGTCAAGGTGGCCTGGCAGAGATGGGAAGGGCCCAGCGGGAGAGGAGAGCAGGAGCCAATCACAAGAGCTCTGGCTGGAGTGAGGAGTCCGATTCCATTCTAAGTGCAGTGGGGAGTTGTTAGAGGGTTAAAGGCAGAATGACAGGACCTGATTTATGATTTTAAAATACAACCTTAGTTATCGTGTGGAGAGGAGATTGAAGAGGGGGTCAAGAAGCAGAGGCAGGGACTCCGGTCAGGAAGCTACTGCTATAAAACAGATGAGCCAGTGGCGTCTTGGACCAGGGTGCTAATGCGGAAGAGGTTAGGGATGTGTTTCCAAGGCAGAGGTCCCGCACCCGCTGATGGATCGGATTCAGGCAGGAGAGAAGGGGGATCAAAGATGACTCCTGGGGGTGGGTCTGAGCTATCTTCACATGAAGCTGGTCCAGCTCTGAGAAACAGCCACCCTAACTCCATGAGGGGAGGGTCCTGTCACACTATCGGTGTTTCTTGCCTTCAGAATTAGCACTCAAGCCAGCTTCCATGAACAGACCACAGGCCATGGTGGTCTGGGAAATAAAAAGGACTATTTTTTAAAATAGCTTATAATAATTGGTATTTTTCCAGTGTAACCATGCATGCGGCCTCCAGGAAAACATGAGGTACTAGACCAAGCACAGGTGGGAAAGCCAGTGGGATCTGGATTAGGCTTACAGGCCTTCACTCATCTATGAAACACCACCATGGTAAGTATCTACCACTTTTTAGAGTTTCAGTGAAGATCAAGCAGTCGAATTGCATAATGGTCATTGCAAAAAAAAAAAAAAAGACTTTATTTTTTTCTTTTCTTTTACCACTCCAGGTCAACACATTCTGAGAGGCTGAAGGGTATGTGGAGGGAAGATCACTTTGGTCTTAATTAAAGACTTCAGGATGAATGAGTAGGAAGGTAACAGGCAGAGTTGGAGGAACTAGAGTGCCATGGATTGTTCTAACCCAAGGATGCAGCCCTTTATTGCAAATCACTCTGGGTTGAGAGTTCGGTTCTTCTGTCTCCATGGATGGGTTAGCTCTGTGATATCCAGATGGGATCCAGAGAACCGTATTGCATCAAATGCTCTGGGACTTCTCTCCAGATGACTTGGTGTCACTGAGAAGAGCAGATGAAGAGGTGGTCAGGGTGCTGGGGAGTCTCTGGAAGGTGCTGGGTTCAGGAAAGGGTGCTGGCCCCACAGTGCAAGTGTGTGGCTTTGCTTCCTCCCCTGCATGAACTTACTTAACAAGTTCAGCGTGCGGACTCAAGCAGAGGGGTTGGTGCTCGTGGTACACCATGCCAGGCATCTCGATTACACCAAGAACTTTTAGAAGGAAGCACCAGCTTAACCCTTTTTGTGCCCAAACTCTCCAAAGAAATCACTTCCCTCTGAATAATCTGGAAGACTGTTGTCCTCAGAGACCTCATTTCTGCCTCCAAGGGTTAAGTCAACTTGATGTCCATGCCTTTGACTCTCACAAGCCCTCTTTCTTCTCGTAGGGGACAAAGTAGGCTTTCATTGGTTTGCCTTCAGGTGGAATCACCAAGCCTCCCCAGCTCTTATGCATTTTTCTATGGAAGGGGTTAAAGTGGCAGGGATTTGACAGCCCAAAACAAAAATTTCAAAACGAAACCCCTGCCTTCTTCATCAGAATAAACCACAGGGCAGATTAATGGTATTCGGTAGGGTTAATTCTACTATTCTTAAACACGAACCCCTACTTCCTTAGGGGTGGAAAGAGCTACACGTGTCTATTACAGCACACAGTTAAAATAAACCTCTACTGCACCATTTCTTTGAGAAAGGAGAAATCGTTTTTAATCAGCCGCCGTATATCTATCTGACATAGGTTTTAAGGCGGGGCCCCAAAAAAGCGAAATAAACGCCTAGAGAGGCAGGGGTCACAATGAGGGAGAGGGGAAGAGGAGGCCGCCGGCCCCAGGAGCCCTGCGCTCCGCCCCAGCGCGCCGGTTCAGAACCGCGGACAGCTCCCGTCTTTGTCTCGCTGCGGACTCCCGCGCCCGGTGCGGAGCCGGTCCGACGGCTGTGCGCTCAGCCACCTCCCGCAAACCTGGTTGGACAGAAAAAGACAGGAGGCAGAGCAGAGCGGTAGAAGCTTTCCTATATTCTCCCCGCATTCTCCGAACTTGGCTCTGATCCCACCCCACTACACTGGGGGGGGGTCCTTGGTTTCACGGGGTCTGGGGCGAGTGTGGGGGCCAGGGAGAGCCGCCTCGGCCGAGCTCAGATCGGATTTGGGATTCGTTTCACTGTCGCCACCCTAGGGTCCAGCCGCCCACGACCTATCCCTAGATGACGCCTCGCCTTCGACCAAACTAAGCATAAAACACACACAACAACAACAACAACAACAAAGAAAACAAACAGCGATATCAAACGCTTCCCGGGGACCAGTCTGGGGCTGCGGGCACACAAGGAGGTCCAGACCCGGAACCACAGGTCAGAGGAAGGAAAACCAAAACCCAGACCGAGAAGCCAGAAAAGATAAGAAAGCTTTTCTTCCGTTGCAACCACGAACCCGCAAAAAAAGCGATGAGAGGTGTCAGAATCTCAGCCCGCGCAGTTCGCCCGCCCAAACAAATACAACAGCGCTTTCTCTCCCTTGGACCAGGAAAAGCGTCTGGCTCTGACTTCAACAGACTGCACCTACTTAGGCCACACAAAATATTGTTTTTCTGGGTCCTTTCTCAGGATCCAGGATGAAAAGGGGTTTCTTCTCACATTCTCATCCAGAAACCTTACTTCTGGGGGTGGGGTAGAAGATATTGAGTCCTCGAAGCTCTCTGTCCAAATCCTACCTCCACATACATAAACACTCTCTCCCTCCCCCACTCCACCCTGGGTCGGTAAAGTTCTGCACTTCCTCCAAGCTTAAGAAAAGTAGGCCAGCCAAGCCACGATTTCATTCTCACACAATTTTTTCCCAAAGTGGAGCCCTCAGGCAGGGATAAACTGGTAAAGTAAGTTTAAGGAAGAGCCTCCCCGAAAGGCAGTCAGGGTTGGGAGGAAAGAAAGAATCCCTCGAAGGCTCCCTAAAGCTTAGATCCCCCACTTGGGCACGGGGGCACGAGGAGATCACCACCAACCAACCAGCTGACAGACCCAAGCCACTGCAGATAGATTTGTATTTGCCTGTGAAATAAGGTATCTCACCAACCCCCACCCCTCACAAAAATCCCTGGGTTTTGTTTTTTTTTTTCAAAACAACATTCTGCCCTCCCCTTCCTTTTCCCCAAGAAACCTGGGAGAGAAAGACCGCTCCCCAAAGACCAGTTCGGAGGTGTTGGGGAACTCGATCCCTGCCCTGCTGCGGTCCCTAAGGAGTAGTAAGTGCTCGAAGAGGGGCAAACATACTTGCCTGGCTGGGAGGAGCTGGGGTCGCTTCCCGGGTCCCCTCCCCCTCCCGGGACCCTTGGGGGTGGGCACCCGAGGGGGTGGGTGCGGGGGTCCGCCCCCCACCGAAGCCCGCTGTGGGGTACGGTGTTCAGCCGGGCTGCTGTGTAAACCATCGCTTTCCCATGCAGATTTCCCTTTTAACACCTTCTAAACAAAGGCTAATGAGGCCACTGCATTACTCTATCAACACACAATCATTAGCAACCGAGAAATACACACACACACACACACACACACACACACAGCAGGCTGCCAAAGTCAGGGGAATTCTAAAGGAACCCATATTAGGCTAACAAAAAGGAGGTGGGATAGGAGGGGCAGGGAGAGGGATAGGAGAGAATGGAGGGGGGAGAGAGAGGAGAAAGAGGAGAGACAGAGAGGGAGGGAGAGAGGAAAAGAGAGAGAGAGGAAGAGAGAGAGAGAGGCTATCAAAATCAGGAGGGGAAAAAGGCCACAGAAAAGAGGGGCGGCAAGGTGAAGATTGAGCTGAAGCCTGGCCGGTCCTGGAGAAAGTGTTGGGAAAGTCTGGGGCCCCTTATTTGGGTTAGGGGTCCTTGGCCAGCTCTCCTCTCTGGGCCTCGGGATGGAGGGGAGCTGCAGGCATCTTCGAATCCATGCCCGCGGCCCAGGCGAGGGTCCCTGAAGTCTCACACACCCTCTGGGGCCAGAGGGAAACCAGTGACCACAGCCGGCCTTGGACTCCACGTGGAAGGACCCAGCCAGCCTCCAGGCCTGAGCCCCAGGGCTGGGTGAGGAGAAGGCCGCACTCGCTCAGACCTCAGACAGCTCTGGCTGGCTTCACCTGAGGGGCTGCAGCAGCCGGAAGGTGGTGGGGGGGGGCGCATTCCTGGAGGGGGGCTTGCAGGGAGGAATGAGGGGACCTCACTTCCTGCCCCGGCCAGTTGGAATCTGGGAAGTCTCACAAGCCAGACACTTCAGAGCTAAATTTTAGGCTCAGCATATATCTTCCACCTGTTCCAAGCTGGAAATGTGGGGCCCAGAGATGCTGAGGGCGTCCCCCCCGCCCCCAGACTCTCGGTCCCGGAAACCCTTTTCGTGGTTCGTGCAGATACCGGGCTGGGGTTGAGTTCAGACTCAGAAACCCCCTCTGGCGTTAGAGCGAAAGTCTCGGAAACCAGGGGACAGTGCGATTGTTCCTTTCCATTCCCAGCTGCTCTCCCAAGGAAAGAAGATGGGGAAGAAAAGAGGGAAGGAGGGAAGAGAGGGGAGAAGGGAGAGGAGGGACTCCCTGCCTTTTTGATTAAACGTCCCGGGTCGGGTCGGGCTTGCCCAGTTAGCCAGACCGTTAATTAAGCCGTGCACGGCGCTGCTGACAGGCGGCCCTGCGCCCCGCTGAGACGTTCCGCAAACCGAGCGCCGCCGTCATCTCCGAGCCGGGACCAGAGCAGCGCGCACCGCCTGCCCCGGCCCGGCTGTCCTCCGGCCGGCCACTCGGGCGAGGACCCCGCAGCCTCACCCACTCCCAGCGCACCCACCCTGGCTCGCCCTTTCTCCTGCGTCCCCGTGCGATGCCCAGGCCCGAGCCCGCGCGCTGGCCCGTCCAACCCGTCACGCCCGGTCCGGACTCCTCAGGCAGAGCCGGACTGCAGGAGGCAGAGGCCGGGCACCCGGGCTGCCGGCCGGATCTCCGAGCCAGCCGCTCCTCTCGGGCCTGGGGCGGCCGGGCCCAGCGTGCGCGCCCGCTCTTCCTCGGGCCGCGTCCTCTGGGCGGCCGGGGCCGGGCCGGGGCCGGGCGCGGCGGGACGCTGAGTATGTGTGCGCAGCGCGGCCTATATTTACACCCCAAACAAAATAATTACACTTTTGTCGGAGGGAGAAAGCCAGTGATTAGGCGCGGGCTCTTTGCGGCAAAACAGTTTCTCAGTGGTACACCAGTATAATTTTTCACGGCTGGCTGAAATCAAAGAGGGGAGGTAATGAATCCGGCGAGCAATTTAAATTTACAATTTGTAACGCCGCCGCCGCCGCCGCCGCCGCCGCGCAGCCCGGCCGAGAGCGCAGCTCCGAGGCGCTCGCTGCGTTTGTTTAATGTTAAAGCCGCGCGGGCTCTGGGGGCGGAGGAGGGGGCGCTAATGGTCGAGGTCGGGAGAAGCCTGGCCGCGGTGCCCGGGATACCAAAGGGAGCAGAGGGCGAGGGGAGCGCTCCCGGGCGCCCCCCCCCCCGCGCGCCTTCTCCAAAAAGCCGGCCTCTCACTGGCCCCGCGAAGGGAAGGAGCGCCTTAAGGGGCCCAGGGGCACGCGAGAAGCACCTACTCCTTTGGGCCGCTGAACCCCCCATGCAGATTTCCCGGGAGGAGGAGGGAGTTGCAAGTGAAATCCTCTTTGGCCTGCAGAAAGGGCACCTCCTGAGGCCTGCGAGGCCCTCAGTCCCGCTGCTGCCCCGCGTCCTCGGCTGGAGAAGTGGCCCGAAGCACCCACAAGCCCGACTCAGCCTTCCCGCTCCCTCTCCTGCGGGTGTGCGCCTCCTCGCCCGTAATTAATTACCGAACTCAAGGGGGAATATGCAAACCGCATATTACTAACTCCACAGGGCTTAAGTGATCGGAAACAGATTATTATCTTGTTTGTCTTCTGTCTGTTTTACTTATCCCGCCGCCGTCTGTCGCGTTGTAATGCTGATACTCTTTACTCTAGGAGGAAGGTTTTTATATAGTAAATGCCATCAACATCTTGTGTAAGTGACATTGCGTCTCCATGCATTACCCTGTTAAGACACAAGCGGTTTATTAGTTACTTATAGGAAGGGATTTCGCTGCCTGGTCGCCATCTGCTAGCGCTATAGGGCGGGATAATGTACCTAATAGTTGGTCTGCTAGCGGTTTCTGAGGCTGGGCACTCTGGAAGGTGTCAGGGTGCATAATTTTCCTGGCTGCACAGCTGGCAGAGGGGTTTCTGGAACTGGGCTGCACCAAGGGTGAGGCCCCGGGTGGGTCCACAAGAAGGGGAGGTCAGTCCTGGCCACCAGACTCAGCCCCGCTGCCCACCCTCACCAGGCAGGGGAGGCCGGGCCCCAGCCGCTCCTTCCCATCCCCGAAGTCTCCCTGGGCTGGCTTCATGGCGACCAGGGCCTGGCGGCACACTGGTTTTTCAGCACATCCAGAAGAGGGCAGATAGTTTGTGAGGGAGTCAGACGGAGCCAGGAGCCCAGGCTGCCAGGGGCCACCAGTGGACAGCCCCGGGCGGGGACACACACTGGTTTGGCCCCTTGAGTCCTTGTGGGGGCTCAAAGGAGAGTGGGCTCAGTCCAGCCAGACTAGAGCAGAGGAGGCCCCCAGATGGGGAGTTCCTCGGACCCCAGAGTGTGTGGGTGTGGGATGTGAGCCTGGCCCCCGCACCCCGAAGTCTGCAAGGTACACAATGAGAAGCACTGAGCCAGATGCTGGACTCAGGCAGCGGTAGAGAAGCAGAGGGAGAGAAACAGAAAGAGGGAGAGAAGGAAAAGGAGGAAGAAACAGCGCAGCGGAAACAGGAAGAGAACAGATGCTGGGCACAAGAGAGAGATGGGGATGGAGCACAGATTGGGGAGAACTCGGGAGAAAGAAAACCTCAGAGAGACAAAGACTAGGCGGACAGCAGTGCAGTTGCCTTTGCCGGAGCGGCGCCTCTCTCCCCTTCCTCTCTGGTCCTTGTTTCTTCATCTCTGCTCTGCCCCAGCTTGAGAACTGTTCCTGCTCTAGGCAGCCAGGCCAGGTGCAGCCAGAAACAGTTCCGTCTCAGGCTCTGGGAGCTGCTCTCGCCAGACCTAGGGGGCCAGGTGCAATCAGGCTTCCTGTTCTTGGCTGAGCAAGGCTCTGAGGGCTCTGCCCAGCCTTACACCATGGCTGTGTCCTGTTATGCCTGTTCCCTGACAAACAGAGGGCCAGGTAGCAGCACCAACTAGCAGAGCTGCCCAGGTTGGGGACTTCTCTTTCAGAGACCCAGCTGGTGGGTCAGTGCCTCCTCATCAGAGACCAGAGACCAGCAATTCCCTGTCCCCAGCAAGATCCCCTCCACTAGAGCCTAGGGGGCAGGCTGGGTCTGCAGAGAAGCAGAGAACAAGGGGACATCTCTGTACCCCAACAGAGGCACCCAGAAGTCTTGCTCCTCCAATCTCTTGAAAGTAAACATTGCTAGATGTTCAAGCACAAATGCAAATATACTCTCCCCCCAACCTACAGGAGTCACATAAACAAAAACCTGTCCAGACAAATACACACAGGCAGGCATACAAACACAGACCTGTAAAATTCTGCATTCTCAAACACACCCAACCCAGCTCAGTTACAGTCTCAAGCATGCACACACTCCACCACACACACATACACGTTCAGATTTTTAAAGCACACTTCCACATCAATGTTAGCACACACGTGCATCAATAATTTTACACATCTGCACACTTACGCATTCAAATGTCCTCACATACACACTGTCTCAAGTAAGTATACACATATACCAACAAAAATTAAAATGCACACACAAATGGCAGGACGTACACAATTATAAACACGCACATTTGCATATAAAAAATACACATACCACAAATAGACTCACAAGACTGATTAACACACTCTAAGCAAACAAAATGCTGCCATTTTCAAATAGCAGAGATACACTAAGAAAATCAGTAAATAGACCCAGACAAACACCACAAGGCCTGGCTCCAGCCTTGGGAGGTCCTACCCCATCAGTGCCTTCTCCAGCAGCAGAACAAGTATCTCAGCTCCACATTCTCAGACCCCTCAACTTGGAGCTGGTGTCGCAGCCTGCTGAGCCTCGGGGAGGGGGGGGGAGGTCTGGTCCCTTCCCTTCCCCCTTAGGCCTCAACAGTCCCTCCCCACACACCTGCGAACATCCCAGAGCTCCCCACAGTGTTAGAACCGTGCCACTCCCGCACTGCCCCACTGTGCCGCCATTTTTTTATTAGGGGCCAAAATCACAGCCAACCCACCTGCAAAGTGAGTGTGAACAGCGCCCACGCCCACGCAGCACAAGCGGCTGCCTGGGACCTGGAAGGTGTGGCCGGGAAAGGAGACTTGTGAGGGCCTTGTCCCAGGAGCCACTTCAGGAAGACCCAAGCAGGTTGGACCGCCCCCATTTCCACCGCTTCCCCACAGCCTGGTGAGCTCTGCCGCAGGCCGGAAACTCCGGAGTCCTGGACCAGACCCGCTGACACCCTTCCCCTGGGCTGGGCCTGGGTCCAGCCACCAGGCCGACCAGGCCGGCAAACCAACCTAAGCCACAAGGCCTGCGCTCTCTCCATGAGAAAGGCCTGGCTGGGCCCCAGCCCCATGTATGACAATAGAAGCTAGGTCTCCGAATGCAATGTTGCAGTATGTTGCAGTCGAAGCTCCAAGGCCCCCCTAGCCCCCACGGGCATGGGGGTGCGGAAGTCCAATCTTGGGGGGCTGGGCAGGGCAGGGGGAGGCAGACACAAGCACACTCTGGGCCTTGGGCAACTTCTGCAAGTTCCGCGGATGGCAGAGGGGGTGGGGGACCTTCCCTGACTAGGCCTTGGAACCCTGCCCCCCAAATATTTGCGGAGATAGAGAGAGAGGAAGAGATGCAGTTTCCGGATTGCGCGACCCCCGCCCTAGCCCCAAACTGGAAGGCAAATACTTACTCAGCCCCCGGACCAGGCACAAGCTAATACTCAACAATACTGATGCCTTGTTTTTTTTGCTCTGTCCGGACCGCAACGCTGTAGCCAATTTAGATATGCTATAAATTTAAGAGGTTGCCATGGCCACGGTGCGCCCATTGGCTGCCGGGCCCCCTACGTGCTGCGCCACGTCACCAAATCTGAATAAGGATGCGCGAATTAGGCGGCGGCCAGACAAAGATGAGGATCCGGACCGCTTGAAAGTGGGGGAAAGTGCCGGCGCCTCTGCCACCGGGGAAAGGCGCTTGGCAGTGCAGAGGCCAGCAGCCACCGGAGACACCTGCGGGAGCCCCGAACACATGCCGGGGCACGCGACCCGTGGCATGAGGTTGTGAATGCCGCCACCTTCCATCCCACTCCGGGCAGCCCAGCTCCGGGCCAGAGATCCTCCGAGGACTTGACCGGCTGAGTCTTGGTCTGGACCCGACTCGCCCCGTGGCGGCCGCGGCCAAGACAAGAGGCGGAGAGCAGCGGCAGAGCCAGGAGGCTGAAGGGCCAGGGGCCCAGAGGGAGACGAGGCGGCTGGGGCCGCTGGGGCGCGCGGCTATGATGGTGCACTGTGCCGGCTGCGAGCGGCCCATCCTCGACCGCTTTCTGCTGAACGTGCTGGACCGCGCATGGCACATCAAATGTGTCCAGTGTTGCGAGTGCAAAACCAACCTCTCAGAGAAGTGCTTCTCGCGCGAGGGCAAGCTCTACTGCAAAAATGACTTCTTCAGGTAAGAGGCCCAGCCCACTGCTGCCCGAGAGCCCGCTCTGCCTGGGCTTTGCCAGGGCATGGGGAAGAGACACCAGGAAACCCATCCCAGGCTTCTGGGCTCCAGAGCTTAAGAGCTTAGCTGGAAGTGGGCAGCACTCTATCCTCGGCTCCTCCGACCTTCGAAGGGCCTGTGCCCAGGCGGAGGAGGAAGGACACAGCTTTTCTGTCTCACCTTCACCCCCAGGAAGCTCCAAGGGCGGTGGGGCAGGGAAGGAAGCCCCCTCGCCGTGGCTGCAAACCCAGCCCCAAAGCTTCAAGCCCCGCTCCGAGGGAGGCAAGGTTTCTCCTGGAGTTCAGGGCGACTGAAGGTTTCTCCTCCAGGGCAGGATTCCTGACCCCAGAAGGTGCCCTCCTGAACAAACAGAAACTTCCCAGCTGCAGAGGGGGCCCAGCCAAGGGAGAGGGGCCTTCCCCTCCCCCACCTCACCCCAGCCCCTCAAACACTTCCTCCCTTGCCGAAAGCCCAAATGGACAGAGGTTGAGAATTGGGGTCTAGCCTGGGCTGTGTCACCTACCCCCAGTGCTTTGGGCTCTCACGCAGGCCAGGACAGGCCATGCCTCTGAGCCTCAGTTTCCCCAGCTGGGAAACGCCGAGGCACAGCCTGGAAGCCCATGGGTTTTTCAGCAGTTTAGCCCTGCCTGCTTCCACCAGGCACCCAGACTCGGCTTTGTCAGTGCAGATTCTGGGCACCGAGGGAAGGAAGGGGGGCGTAATCCACACCGCAGAGAAAGGCAGCCCACTGGCCCAGCACTAGGGAATTTGAATAGGAGAAAATGTCAACCTCGCCTTTACATGTGTAAACTCCCCGACCTAGGAGGCCCGAGGCCCCTAATGTGGCGGTGCTTGCAAAGCGCCTAATGATTTTTGATAAGGTGCATATGGCCAATTATGCTGCCGGATAAGGCCAAAAGTGACTTATGGCTCCTAATGCCCTCACTACATCAATGTCACCCAAATTCCCCTTGTTTAGAGACATGGGTGCGGGGAGATGTGGGGTCCCTAGAGTCCTGATCCCTCTTCCTTTCCCCCACAACCTGCATCTCAGCCTTGCCCTTGGGGGTCTGCACACCCATTCTGGGGGAGGCAGGTTTCTCCCTGAGCCAGAGAAAGAAAAAAAAGGAATTAGACCTCAAAGGAGGGAACGGGGAATTGGAGTGATCCCGTGCCCTGGCTGTACAGGGTTTGGGGTGCCTTCTACTTACATCTTCCCCTCTGACCACCAGGGCCAGGTTTTGGGGAGCAGGATGCAGCTCAGTCCCTGCTTCCCAGTCTGCCCCTCTAGCCCTGCTATCCACAGCCCCCCCCCAGCTCCATGCAGTGGGTCCCACACTGGAGACAGGAAAGACCTCTTGTTAGCACTGGGACTGGGTGGAAGGTTCCCTCCTTGCTCATGCCCAGCCCCGGAGGGAGGCTGGGGGACTCTGCCCCCCATTGCTAGGCCCAGCAGCCAAGCAGATGGGGCAGATAGGAAGGATGCAGGAGGCAAGGCCCAGAAGTAGTCCAAACCCAACCTGCCTGGCTTTCAGCCCTCTGCGGGGGAGGCGTGAAGCCTGCACCCACCGCTCACCTCTGGGCAGCTCATTAGCATTAGCGTGTGAATCAACCCACTAGGAGTGCAGCAGTGCCCACCCCACGAAGAGCCCGGGACAATTGTCCCTCTTCTGCTCTGGCCACCGAGGAGGCAGGATTGGAGTTCCATCTGACAGATGGCGAAGCAGAGGCTTCTCGGGACCTGGGGCGGGTGGGAAGAGCTGGAGAGGACTGGACTCTGGGCCCACCTCACAGTGACAGGCACCTTGTGTCCACAGACGCTTCGGCACCAAGTGCGCCGGCTGTGCACAAGGCATCTCGCCCAGTGACCTGGTTCGCAAAGCCCGGAGCAAAGTCTTCCACCTCAACTGTTTCACCTGCATGGTGTGCAACAAGCAGCTGTCCACCGGGGAGGAGCTGTACGTCATCGACGAAAACAAGTTTGTGTGCAAGGAGGACTACCTCAGCTCCTCCAGCCTTAAGGAAGGCAGTCTCAACTCAGGTACGGAGGGCTGTGCCCAGCCCCAGCCTCCAGCCTGGCACGCTCTGCTCTCTTCCTGTGCCCAGTCTGCGCCAGGCTCAGAGCTCCTCACCCAGGCTCCTCTGGCAGGCAGTTCTTGGGTAAGGAGAGGGCATTCGAGGCAGGAAGAGAGAGAGCGTTTGGAGCCCACCCCACGGGCAAACCGGCAGAGCCTTTCCCAAGTGGCCCTCCACCCCTCATTCAGGCCTGCTGCATTCATCCTTGTGTCCTTTGAGGTCTTGGTAATTTCTAGGTACACTGGGACTTGGAGGAAGGAGAAAAGGGAACGGGAGAAGGGAGGAGACATCTGTAGGCCCCTCTGTCCCCCGTCCAGGAAGGTGGTTCTCCCGAGGGCATGGCCCTCCCCCGTGCCCAGCTCCCGGAGAGGCGCCCAGAGGGGTGAGCGGGGCCTCTTCAAAGGCCAGGCCCCGCCTGGAGAGAGTGGGCGGGCGCCGGGTCCCTGGGGGAGGAGCTGTCTCGGGTTTGGGAGGGAACGCGGCCTGGTCGGCGGTAGCCTGGGCCGGCTGGAACCAGCCACCGAGTTGCAGAGGGACCGGACCGGACCGGACCGCCGCTGACGCTGCTGTCCCTTTCCCAATACGTCCGCCCGCAGTGTCATCCTGTACGGACCGCAGTTTGTCCCCGGACCTCCAGGACCCATTGCAGGACGACCCCAAGGAGACGGACAACTCCACCTCCTCGGACAAGGAGACAGCCAACAATGAGAACGAGGAGCAGAATTCCGGCACCAAGCGGCGGGGCCCGCGCACCACCATCAAAGCCAAGCAGCTGGAGACGCTCAAGGCTGCCTTTGCCGCCACGCCCAAGCCCACGCGCCACATCCGGGAGCAGCTGGCGCAGGAGACTGGCCTCAATATGCGGGTTATTCAGGTGCGGTCTGGGGCGCCACGTCCTCCTCACCGCGGCCGCGGCTGGGAGTCGGGAGGCCCCTCGCCCGACGGTGAGCGGGCCGTGCGCCCCAGGCCGGGGAAGGCTGGCCACCCGCCCCGCCGGAGGTGGGGCGTGAGGAACCGAAAGTTCAGCCCAGCCCTGCTGTCCTCCTGCTGTGTGATTCTGGACAGGGCCTCTTCACCTCTCTGAATTCCGATTCCTGCCCTGTTCCATGAAGGTTTTAAACCTCTCTGGGGTCCAGGACCCCTCCTTCCCTCCCATCTTCCGAGCAAAGAAAGAGGCGAGGCCCGAGCCGCCGGGCTGCGGAGCAGAGGCGAGAGCCTTGCGGGGCGGGAGGCCTTCATAAAGCCGTCAGGCGGCGGACAAGCTGAGGAGCAGGAAGCCCGAGTCTTTATGAGTCGCCCCACGGGTCCGCGAAATCCTTCACCCTTGGCTGGTTCACCCAGGCCCCTCTTCACCCCTCCCAGCCTAATCCGGCCTGGCCCCCGCCTCCAGGGAGGCCTGGAGCGCCAGAGGCGTTAGGACCCAGCAGGGGCAGCGCGGGCTGGAAGGGAGGGGAAGGCGCTCCCGACCCGAGCTCACTGCCCGCTCCTCTGTCCCAGGTGTGGTTTCAGAACCGACGGTCCAAAGAGCGCCGCATGAAGCAGCTGAGCGCGCTGGGCGCACGGAGACACGCCTTCTTCCGGAGTCCGCGGCGCATGCGTCCGCTGGGCGGCCGCTTGGACGAGTCTGAGATGTTGGGGTCCACCCCGTACACCTACTACGGAGGTAAGCGGGCCCCCGGGACTCGCGGCTCCGCACCTCAGCCCGCGCCGCCCTGCGTGGCCCAGCGCGAGGCGCTTTCAGCTACCCTGGGACGCGCTTCGTCCTGTCCCACTCACGTGGACGTACACAATCAAGGACACGCCTGGACGCATCACAACCATGCCCACTCACCCCGCACCCTAAAGCAGACTCACGCGCGCCCGCAGAGTGGCATACATAAACACACAGAATGCAGGGCCGCCCTTACCCACGGGGACACCTGGGCGCGGGCATGTGCTTGCGTTCAGACTTGGGGGGCGCACGTCTAGACACAGTTACACACAGCCGCACAGGTACATCCCACTCCCGCGCCTCGCCTCGCCGGGATACAGCCAGACAGTCGCACGGAAAGGCACACTTCCTGGGCCCTGCCACCACTTGTCCCTCCGCTACCACCGGACACAGCCTTCCAGCTGTCCGTGACCCTGCGCCTGGTGTTCTGGGAAAAAGCTGGGACCATTCTTGGGGGTCTGGAATGAGGGATCTGGACTGGCCCCAGGCTACCTGCGAGTCTGGTGCTCTGAGCCCACCCCACAGCCCCAAGCATGCAGGGGTTCGTGGGAGCCGAATCCACCCAGAGGTCCACTTCCCATCTTTGGGGCTGGGGAGCACCAGGCGCCCCTTTGCAAAGGGAGTTTCGAGGTTGGCTATCCTGTCCTCCACCCGGTCACCCCCTTTTCTCCTCTCTCCCCACCCCTCATTTTCCTCACAGCGGATTCGAGCTCCCATCCCGGTTCGTTAGACTCTCTGGGGTGCAGCAGCCCCGGCTCCCCTTTCTGGAGCTGTGGGCCCAAGGAAGCTCTTTTGCCATTGGATCCCAAATGTCCCAATTTGGGGGGCCACCAGGAAGGCCTAACCTGAGGTGCATCTGCATTCTGTGGGGCTCTCTGCGTGCCCAGGGTTAGTAACTCAGTTAGAGGCCAACTTTGAAAGGATTCAGGAAGAAGAGAGGGCCAGGTGTCCAGACCCCACCGGCAGGGAGGCAGGAGAGCCCGCGCCTGGCCTCTGGCTTCCAGAGACAGGCTCATCTGGAGGCCTCGGCAGGCCTCTCAGAAACTGTGGCAACGCGGGAAACTGTTCTTTGCAGTCCTAGCGTGCAGCTTGGGGAGCCTCAGCTCTCAGCCTGGACGGCCGGGCTCTGGGGTCGCCCCTCACCCACTCTCCACCTAGCTCGCCCTCCTTCCCCACAGTTTAGGCCCTGGGCGGGGAGACGGTGGGGCGGCCTTGGCCCGGAATTTCCCCAGCCTAGGTAATTAACCTAGGTTTCCGGCAGGACCCGTCAGCCCCGCACCGAACCCGTTGCGCGCCGTCCCGCTCCAGCTGCGTGAGGAGGGAGGCAGGACGCCCGGGTCCCTCTTTCCCCGGAATTGGGGGGCTCCCCAGCCCCCACCAAAGCAGCCCCGCCTAATCCGCGCTGGGAGATCCAGGCAGTGGCGGCGGGCGGCGGGCGAGAAAGGGGCCGGGCGGCGGGGCCAGCGGCTCCCCGTGGGAGCGCGGACAAAGCCCCAGCTGCGGCTTTTGTGCCCCTTTCAGACAGCGTTTGTTCCAATTACCTCCGGCCCGGCCGCCATATGGGCGGAGGCGGCGCGCGCGGCGCCGGGCCGCGGCCTTAGCAGGCTTGCCGGCTCGCTGAGGTCTCGGGTGGCCCCGGCCCTCACCCTTTGGGGCCCCCAATTCGCGTCTCCCAAGCTCCCCTTCACTTTCTGGGAGAACGGAATCCGTGTATTTTGTTGTTGAAGTCATTGGCGGCCGTTTCATCTGTTACCTGAACCGTGTCCAAGCCGCGCCTCAAGACCTCATTTAGACAGATTTCGGGGTTCGGAGAAGAAAGAGGAGCAGGAACTCGGCCCTGAGCCGGCACTGGGTTTGCAGCAGACTGAACTGTGCGTGCGCTGCTTTTCCCGCCGTGCGAAGCGGGCCGCTGTCACCGCCGTGGGCTCCACAGTACTGCTTTACGGATCCCTCACCCTATCCTTGAGGGTCCCACCTGAGGTCCCGCCGGACCTCAGGGAGAGGCTGCGGGAGGAGGTCAGACGTGGAGGCGGGTGGGCGTGTGACTCGGAGCCCGCGCCCCCTGAGCTGGGGAAACGCGCATCTATGCGTCTTTCTCTGGAAAGCCCCGTAGCTGTCACCAGCTTCTCAAAGGCTCTGTGCCCCTAAGCGGGCTCCCTGGCAAACCCGCCGGTGTGAGCGGAGGCCAAGCCTCCAGGGCGCCAGTGGATGTTCGTGTCCCCCCCCCCCAAAGTCTCTGGGGCTCGGCTTCCTCTTCCAGGCCCTCAGACCCTGCCTTCCCCCCGGGTGTGGCGGGGACCACAGTTGGCGCGGGGTCTGCGGGGCGCAGGGCGGAGGGCGCTAAGGCGCCCAGGCTGCGCCCAGAGCCCAAACCCGCAGCCTCTCTGCTCTCGGCCGGCCGGCCCGGCCCCCGCGTCCGTGCGCTCCGCTCCCCTGCTGGCCCCAGGGCCCCCGCGTCTCCAGCGCCCCGCGAACTCATCGCTCCGCCCCGCTGACTCGCGTCTCTGGACCATCTGTGTCTCCATCCCCTTCTCCTCCATCCACCCCGGAGTTTCCGCGGGTCTCAGCTCTTTCTTTTGCGTCTCTTCGACCGTATTCCACTCGATTTCCATCTCTGGGGCTCTCGAGTCTTTGCTGTGGAATCGGCGTCTCCGGGGTCCTTTTCCCCCTTTTTCGGGCGACTCCCCGCCGCGCTAGGCGCCTCTCCCCTGGCTTTCACGCTGGTCTCTGCCGGGCTCTCCCTGTCCCGCTCTGAGCCGGGGTCCAGGTTCGCCCTCGCCTCTGAGACGCTGAGCTCCGCCGTCGGCGCGCTGGGCGCCTGAGACTATCTGCCCTGCGTCCTCATTGTCTCGGGGTCCCTCCCCTCACCCTCGGCGGGTCCCGTCGCGCTCTCCCCGCCCCACCCGGTCCGCTGCGCCTGGCCGTCCACAGGGTCGCAGGCCCTCTCCCGGTCTCCGTGGCCTGTGAGTGCCGTCGGTCCTGGCCAGCGTCGCGCTGTCCGCGTCCGCGCCCTCCTGCGCCCCGGCCTCACGGGCTCTGGTCCCTAAACCGGGCCCCTGCCCGGGTCCCGCGGGTCCCCTTCGGACGTCGCCGTGTCTCACGGCTCCGTGTCCCCCCTTCCTCCCGCAGACTACCAGGGCGACTACTACGCGCCGGGAGGCAACTACGACTTCTTCGCTGCGCACGGGCCGCCCTCGCAGGCGCAGTCCCCGGCCGACTCCAGCTTCCTGGCCGCCTCGGGGCCCGGCTCGACGCCGCTGGGCGCCCTGGAGCCGCCGCTGGCCGGGCCACACGCCGCCGAGAACCCGCGCTTTACCGACATGATCTCGCACCCCGACACGCCGAGCCCCGAGCCCCTGCCCGGCGCGCTGCACCCCATGCCCGGTGAGGTGTTCGGCGGCGGCCCCAGCCCGCCCTTCCCCATGAGCGGCTCCGGCGCCTACAGCGGGGCCTTGTCGCACCCCAACCCCGAGCTCAACGAGGCGGCCGTGTGGTAAGGCCGGGGCCGGGCGCCCCCTGCGGCCTCCGAAACCAAAACTCCCGACGCGGACTCGGCTGGGGGCGGGGGACGCCCTCAGGGGTCCTCTCTCGGGTCCGCACCCAACCGGCAGCTCCTCCTCGGCTGGGCGCCCGGGGGTGGGGGGGGCGCAACTCCCATCTCCAGCGCGCGCTCTCCCCGGCAGCCGTGAGCAATTTCTTGGGACCAAAGTCGATATTCTGGAGGGTCCAGAGATGCCAAGCGCCCCGCCCCCCACCCACTACCACATCTTGGGACTAAGGGTCGAGGCGAAGGGCTGGAAAAAATGCTTTTCCCCCCTCTGCGATCTGAGTGGTATTTTGTAACCTTATTTCTCGCTCTGCTTTCCCCATCTTTTAAAAAAATGATTAAAAAATAGATTGGAAGGAAGAGATGAGGAAAGCATCGGCCAGAAAGCGAAGATGGAGAGGGAATTGGGGGAAAGGGATCCACCTTCGAGTTGGCGCCCCCTGGTGGCTGATCTTGAGGCTCAAGGTCAGCTTATCTGGAAGCAAGGCTGCCCGGACGCGGCCAGTCCAGGCCGGCTTCTCCCTCTTGGACATTTACTTTTGAGCCCAGGGTCCGGGCCTGACTCGAACACTTGCCCACCCTGTTCTGCCCCTGGGCGAGGCGCCCTCTCTGCCCGGGAGCCTGGAGGCTGGGCCGTCAGGGTGTACAATATTATACTTTTTTGGAAGTTGAACGCTTCTAGTTTCCTTATTTTGTATAAAGAAGAAAACAAATAAAGTATGTTTTTGTGTTTACTGTTTATTTATTGTACTCTAGTTATCTGGGGCTGGACATTTTTATATTTTTAAGAGGCAGGTGGGCAGAGTGCGGGAGGGGAGGCAGAAAGAGGTTTACCTACAAAAAACAAAACAAAAAACAAAAAAATCAACTTTTTTAAAAAGAAAGATTAATAAAAAAATTCTTTTTTCCCTCAGCACTGTGTGGTTTTCTTTTTTTGTCCCTATGTTGATAGAGTGAATGAAATCAGTCTTTTCTCTGCTTCGGTCTCTGAGACCTAACAGACACGAGGGTCTGGGCCCCTTTCCTCCTGTAAGGGGGGCTCCTTCCGCTAATGGCCGGCTTTTTGACAGTTTCTATGAGCTGGGCACACTATCAACTCATGCTGTAGTAGAACACAAGCCTTTCGGGCACGTGGGAGGCCTTCAGAACGTTTGATGAATGAATGGACGTGTGATCTATCTCCAGTATATAAAAAAATTATAGTAATCAGGTACAGTTGTACACACATGTAATCCCAGCTACTGGGTAGGCTGAGGCAGGAGGATTGCAAGTTCAAGGCCAACCTGGGCAGTTAAGTGACTCCCTGTCTTAGAATAAAAAGTAAAAAAGGGTAATGATAGAGAATCCCTGGGTTTGATTCCTAGAAGGGGGAAAATCTAGCTTCAATTCTCTTTTTGCCCCAGGTAATTCCAGGTGTTCAGAAACAAAACAACAAAAGAAAAAAAGAAAGAATCCAGAAAAGGAGCAGGTCTCTAAGCTGGTGTGGGTTGCCTAGGCTGAACTAGGACAGGGGGGTCCCCCCTGGGGCGAAGGCTGTGGTGCTCCCCATTCTTATGCAGCCTGTGCTTGTGTGATTAGGAGAAGGTGGCAGAAAAGAGGCCTGGAGGTCTCGGAGGCCTGGGGGGACTGTAAGAACGAGGCCTCGCCCTCTGGGCCTGTTTCCAGACTTGGAAAAGTGGGGGTGGAAGGGAGTGCTCCCTAAATTCCCCGCCAGCTCAGGTTCCGTAGGGTTAGAAAAGCAGATGGAACCAACAAAAATGAACTCCGGCCCCCTGGAACTGGTGGGGGCCCCGTTTTAGAGGCAGCCAGAGAAGGTGGGGGCGGGAGGGGGTCCGACGGGCGGAGCCGGGGCGGGGCGCCCTGCCAGGCCGCCTCGCAGGGGTAAGATGAGGTGACTTCGCTTTCTTCTCTTTTCTTCTTTTCTTTTCTTTCCTTTCCTTTCCTTTCCTTTCCTTTCCTTTCCTTTCCTTTCCTTTCCTTTCCTTTCCTTTCCTTTCCTTT